TGAGGCCAAGAGAGTGGAGTTTTTTTTGAGGAGGAGGGGATGGTCAACGTATAAAAAGCAGCAGAGAGGTCAAGTAGTATGAGTACGGAGTAGTGGCCATTGGTTTTAGCTGTTAGTAGATCATTCGTGAGTTTTAGTAGGGCAGTTTCAGTGAAGTGTAGAGAGCGAAAGCCAGACTGTAAAGGATCCAGAAGGTTGTTGTCAGTGAGGTGGGAGCTCAGGCGATTGTAGACTAAGCATTCTAGGAGTTTAAAAGTAAATGGCAGCAGGGAGATGGGTCTTACGTTGTTCAGGTTGGTGGGGTCTAGGGAGGGCTTTTTAAGTATGGGAGTGATGTGCGCATGCTTTAGAGGAGAGGGGAAGGCAACAGTAGAGAGGGAAAGATTGAAGATGTGAGTGAGGGAGCATAGGATGAAAGAAGAGGGTGACCGTAGTAGTTGTGAGGGGACAGGATCCAGGGGGCAGGTAGTGAGACGGGCTTCTGAGAAAACCTTAGTGATCTCTTTGGTAGTGGCAAGGTCAAAAGAGGAAAGTGTTGAGGGAGGTTTAGTATAAGGTATTCTAAGTGGGATGGATGTCTGTGCAGCGGCGACGCCCCTACGAATTGCGTCAATCTTGTTTTTGAAATGATTTGCAATCTCATGAACAGTGAGTAAGGTACTGGGTGGAGGTGGATGTGGAGAAAGTAGAGAGTTAAAAGTAGAGACGAGACGATGAGGACTGGATGAGAAGGTGTTAATAAGAGTGACAAAGCAGGCTTGTTTGGCAGCATGGAGGGAGGAATTGTATGTTAAGAAAGCAGATTTATATCGGGTGAATGCTTGGTGGGATTTGGTGTTACGCCACAATCGCTCCAGCGTGCGACTATGTCATTTAAGATTTCTGGTGTGTTCAGTCTGCCAAGGTTGTAACGGTCGGGGCCTGATGCTTTGTATTGTTAAAGGAGCAAGTGAGTCTAATGCTGATGAAAGCGAACTGTTATAGACAGTAGTGGCCAGGTCAGGGCAGGACAGGGGAGAGATTCTGTCATAGAGTTGGTCAGTTGCAGAGTGGAAAGGAGCAGGGTTCAAGTTGTGAAGGTTTGTGCGGGTAATTGTCTACTGCTTGGAGGGATAGGTGTTTGAAGATGAGGACACTGTGAAGGTGATGAGATTGTGATCAGAGACAGGAAAGGGGGTGTTTGTGAGGTTGTCATCACTGGAAATCTGCTGAAACAGAAACTCTCCATTTCCTTGATTGAACTGCTTAAGCAAATCTATCTTGCTATTTATTATTGGTTCTGTTTTGAGTAATTTTATTTATCAGTGTATTTTGCATTTAGACTTTTTTCCTTTTTATTGTGCAGTTGACCATTATCTGTACACTTTTGTTTTTTGTTTTTTTTTTTGTATTTTATTTTATTTTTTCACTGGCTGCTTTTTTTCTGTGGAAAAATGCAACAAAAACAATATAAAGGATCATGTTTTGCCAATAAGTGGTGCATAATGTAATTGAATGTAAATTGTATAACACTCAAGAGCCATTTAAAGCTCACCACTAATAAAAAAAAAAAAAAAATACTTTTGATTTCCCTAAAATGGCAAGATTTTGCAAAAGGTCTCCTATTTTTTGCCAAATACAAGTGAAGTGAAAACTCAGTTTTGCTCATCCTACCATGGAGGAAATGTGCCACATGTACAGTATATACCAGTTTTCTTTTCAAGAAAGGATTGCTGCATAACCTAAATTGCATTTTGATCAAATTATAATATACCGTAGTTCTTGTTATGATATTTGACTTATTGCAACAACAGCATTTTCCCAAGGTGTACAAATATTGTAGATGTATTTCTCAAAAAATATTTTTCAAAAGCTCATTACTTTTTTTGATTAAATTCATCTAAAGTGGACTCTAGAAAGTTCATAAAATAACCCCAAGACAATTAAGCAGCTACTACTAGTTACATGCACACATGGTTAGATTATTTGTTTAAAAAAAAAGGTCAACAATGGTCACTTTATGGCCATCCTCAACTCTAGCTCTCTATAAGTGTGTCAACTTTGGATTATTATAGTTAGGTTTAAGATACAGTACTAGTAGTTACCAGCATATTTAGCACCTTTCACATTGGATGATGATCTTTGTCTCCCACCTCCTCACCCACCCGGTCCTCAGGGGACATGAGCCTCAAGGGTCTCTTTTTTCCATTCAAGCTTCCAGATATAAATTTACTTATGCATTGTAAAAACTACACTACAGTGAAAGCTTAGACCCTTCTCTAATTCTCGTTGTTGCAACTTCTCTCCCTATTCTAGGATTTATTGGTACAATAAAACTATTCTACAAGTTGTATTGACCATTCAAGGTCATGAGGTCCCCTCTCTACTTTCTTTCACTGTTGATTGTTCTGCTATTATTTGCGACACCTTTTTAACTTTAATAAAATACATTTAAGAAAAAAAAAACCCAGATCTTCTTCTCATCCCTTCTCCAATTCCAAATTCCAGCCCTCCTCAATTCAATATTGGTCTTTGTGAAGATGTCCCTAGTCACAATGTAACCATAAATTAGATCTAGTTTCTGTTTGCCTAATAGAACACCTGCTATTTGGGGGTAACTGGGCACCCTGTAAAAAACTAAGCCTAAACTATATCTTGAGATGCCTGCTTTATAAATTTTCTGTAAAATTCAATGCAATATAGCAACCTGGAGACTTTCTGTACACCATTAGTATACAGAATACCCCAGAAGTCTGCACTAAGATACAAGTCAGACTTTAGGCATCCCCTGCAACAAAAAGTTCATTTTTGGTGAGAAACTCTCAAAGGATTAATCACTTTTAAAGGGATGCAAACCATGCAACTTTCCTCATTAGAACGCTGAAAGTGCATCAGCTGATTAATTATGATAAAAGTAACTCCTACAACAAACAGCTTTTGCTCCAGAGCAGAGGCAGATAGGAATCTGCAACAAGGTATGTTAAAATTCCTGCAATGTATATAGATCACACTAAGGGGATTTTTTTTTTTTGTGTCTCAACAAAATTGGAGTTACTCTCTAACTGTTTGCCTTGAGTTCAAACTTAAATGAAAACATTTCCAGTTAATATACAGAGTGTATATATATATATATATATATATATATATATATATATATATATACATATATATATATATATCTCCAATATTTATATCTGTAAAGGCCCTTGAAACATCCTTAGAGCCCAATGTGAAATGTTCAACATCTCATTGCCTTAACTATTTACTCTTATCTTCAGAATGCTGATTATTCTGTAGATTCTTAATGTTGATTATTTTCCTGCTGTTCTTACAACATTCGATTTAGCAGCATGATGAATCTGATCTTAAATAACACCTTGCAAAGAGCAGTGGTGTGAACATCCTCATAGCAACCAGACAGAAAGCCACCTTCATTAGATGGGCCTTTCTAGACTGCTACAAATGCTATCTGATCAATGTCCATAGGTGAATGTACAATGTTTTTTGCACTGTTTTGTCAAATAAGCTCTGTTATAGTATATTAATTATTACTATGGAAACTGTGTTAAAATGGACGTAGCAAAGGTCTGCTACATTAATCAGAAACTGAGTGACAACATGTTTTGTGAAAAAAGTGTTAATTAGCAATGTGTGTCCTGTAGTTGCATATGTTTGCATTACTAATTAATCCATAGGAGGTAGATATCATTATGTCAAAGGAAGGTATTCCTTTAATTAGAAGGTGCCCTTGAGTATCATGTCTGTGAATACTAATTAGTTACAATAAATGTCCCTTCTCTTGTCTTGAAATAAAACTTGTTGAGGAAAGCAGAATTGGAGGATGAAATAGAAATGCTATGATGTAATAGTAATACCAGATTGCATTATTTATGTGCTTGAATATTACTACGGCTATATGATCAAAATGCCCAAGGTTCATTTAGGACATATACACACAGCAGTAGAGGCATTGCCAGGTTTGTGAAAGACCGAGGCCATACCTGATACACATCAAGGAAAGTAATTCTGTGGCATACGGTGTGCATGCCTGAATCACACCTAACAGTGGGAGTGACTTAGAGGGGACTGATATAGTCTGAGACTACTCCCTGTATACACTGCACAGCCCTTGTACCCATAAAATCTGCTTCAAAGTGGCTGTAAACCTCGGAAATGAAAAACAGGCAGAGCATATCCCCCTACAGTGTGTACTAGCCTCAATCTGAAGCACTGAATGTGATTTCTGTCTCACATAGTGCAGAGGTCAGGACTGTGTAATGTACAACGCTGTGTATAGAGTACAGCAGCAGTCAGCACTTTATAGTGTACAACACAGCATATGGCGTGTAGTAGGCAAAGACTATTTTACATAGAACATATCATATGGTCTGCAGTGATCAGGAGTATGTAGTATACAACATAGCATATAAAGTACACGTTAAGACTATATATAGTGTATAGATTGCAGTGGTCAGGTCTATGTAGAATATATACAGTACTTCAGTAAAGACTATATAATAAAAAACATAGAGCATACTGAGCTCATTTTTTATATTTTACATTTGAGTGACTTGGGAGTAAAACTTTTATCCTGCACACCAGCCAGAAGAGTTGTCATTTTGAATGCGATATTCTAACCTACTCAAGCACTGTTTGATCTCTCTGTTTCATGCAGGGGTCACTGCGTTCTGGCAAGAAGCTTTAGTGTACTTTTCTGGAGTGTGGGCTCTTTTCCATCACCAGAGTTTCCAGTTATCACTTTGAACGTTTTTTAGCACTTTTGGTGGTGTTTGTTTTTTATTTACAAGAATCATCTGCACAGCACCTGAGCACTGTATTATTGGACTTTTGAGATTGCATCATTGCACGTTATTTATATCTTTAATTACAGGAGATTAATATTTATGTATTTGTAACACTGCACTTTTTTCTTTTTCACATGCACACTATATTGCCAAAAGTATTGGGCCAGCCCACCAAATCATTGGATTCAGGTGATTCGATCACCTCCATGGTCACAGGTGTATAACATCAAGCATCTAGGCATGCAGACTGCTTCTACAAACATTTGTGAAAGAATGGGTCGCTCTCAGGAGCTCAGTGAATTCAATCATGATACCGTGATAGGTTGCCACCTGTGCAATAAATCCATCTGTGAAATTTCCTTGCTTTTTTATATTCCACAGTCAACTGTTAGTGGTACTATAACAAAGTGCTAGCAACTGGAAAAAACAGCAACTCAACCACAGTGGTAGGCCACGTAAAATGACAGAGCGGGGTCAGCGCATACTCAAGTGCACAGTCCGCAAAAGTTGCCAACTGTCTGCTGTCAATTGGTAAAGAACACCAAACATCATGTGGCTTTCAGATTAGCACAACAGTGTGTAGAAAGCTTCATGGAACGGATTCCATGGCCAAGCAGCTGCATCTAAGCTTTCACCAAGTGCAATGCAAAGCGTTGGATGCAGAGGTATAAAGCATGCCACCAGTCGACTCCAGAGATGTGTGTTCTCTGTAGTGACGAATCGTGTATCTCTGTCTGACAATCCGATGGACGTGTGTGAGTTTTCCAGGAGAACGGTACTTGCCTGACTGCATTGTGCCAAGTGTAAAGTTTGGTGGAGGGGGGGATTATGGTGTGGGGCTGTTTTTCAGGGGTTGGACTTGGCCCCTTAGTTCCAGTGAAAGGAACTCTTAATGCATTCAGCATACCAAGACATTTTGGACAATTTCATGCTCCAAACTTTGTGGAAACAGTTTAGGGATGGCCCCTTCCTGTGCCAACATGACTGCGCACCAGTGCGCAAAGCAGGGTCCATAAAGACATGGATGAGTGAGTTTGGGGTGGAGGAACTTGACTGGCCTGCACAGAGTCCTGACCTCCACCTGTTATAAACACCTTTGGGATAAATTAGAGCAGAGACTGCGAGCCAGGCCTTGTTGTCCAACATCAGTGCCTGACTTCATAAATGGGCTTCTGTAAGAATGATCAAAACATTCCCATAGACACACTCCTAAACCTTGTGGACAGCCTTCCCAGAAGAGTAGAAGCTTTTATAGCTGCAAAGGGTTGGCCAACTAAATATTGAACCTTACGGACTAAGACTGGGATGCCATTAAAGTTCATGTATGTGTAAAGGTAGGCTTCCCAATACTTTTGGCAATATAGTGAATTTTGAGTTTATGTATCTGGACTCTTAATGCTGGCAGCTTTCAGTCTATTTACCCAAGTGCAGTGTTCTCTCTTTGCTTTTGTAATTTAATTACTTATAGTCTCCCGTATCACAAAACGTGATTCATAGAACAAGTAAGGTGGCAAACACCATACAAAGGAGACCATCATAAAGTTATATAATGCTCCTATAAAAATTAGATGGAACTTTAGCATATATAACATTTGCTACAATATAATTGTTTTTGGGCTCTACAATGGAATTTTGTAGTAGTGACTGGGAAGGACTGATGACTAAAATCCATCAGGACTTCGCAGATCTTAACAGGGCCTATAATAAACTTACCATGGTACACACACAAAGTTCCCATGCAGATAATCTACCACCATGTATATGATATTTTAAATGGTAACTTAAGAAGTCCAGTTGCCAGTGAGACCTGTAGGAGAAAAAAATGGACAGAGGGCTTGCATGACTAAAAGGAGGAACAGGTCAGAATAGGGTTAAAAATTAGTAAAAGTGAGTTCTATGAGTAGGGGATGTAGGTCTTACCTCATTGGAGGCTAACAAACAGATGGGTAGAGCGGAGCTGCAAGGATTGTTCACGTGAAGGTTGCTGGGTAGACATTCCGGAAAGTTCAGTAGAAGAGGAAGTTTCCCCACCCGCCTGCCCTTCACTTGCAGTTCATTGTAGGTCACGGGCAGTTTGGTAAGTGTTCATTTATACAATAAATAAATGTGTATATAAAAAGATTTAGTCAAAGCAGCTTAGTGGGTCAGGGTGTCTTTGAGGGGCCAGTTAATATTTGAATTGTAACAAAACTGGGGGCCCATTTGGGTATGGCACTTTCACTTGGTTGATTATTGGTGGTTCTCCCAAGAACTTGGAGAAAAAAAAGTGTGTGAGTTTGTAACATCTTTAAGCCAGTTGGGGTACGGCTGAGGGTGACTCTAGTTATAAATTTGTGCTTTTAAGGACACCCAAAGACCCCTTCCTGGTTGCACTGTCAAAATTGTTTATTATTTATGTTAATGTTATGTGTTATTTAATTTTGTTTATTGTAAATAAAATGGTTGTAGTGGTTGTTTAAATCCTGTGTTGTTATTTTAAAGGTTTAGTAGAGGAACGAGGTTTACAAACCCTTTAGGGCTGGTTCACACAAAAACTCGGCACCAGAAAGGCATGCTCCGTGTGCGTTTACAGCACCACATTCAAGACACACTGCCTTTGTGATCTGCTGTAGATGATAATATTCTGGTAATGGCTCCTCAATCTTAGGTCATACAGGTGAAACTCGAAAAATTTGAATATTGTGCAGAAGATCATTTCATTTATTTCAGTAATGCAACTTAAAAGGTGAAGCTAATATATGAGATAGACTCATTACATGCAAAGCAAGATAGTTCAAGCCATGATTTGTCATAATTGTGATGATTATTGCTTACAGCTCATGAAAACCCCAAATCCACAATCTCAGAAAATTAGAATATTACATGCAATCAATAAAACAAGGATTGTACATAGAACAATATCTGACCTCTGAAAAGTATAAGCATGCATATGTACTCAGTACTTGGTTTCGGCCCCATTTGCAGCAATTACTGCCTCAATGTGGCATGGCATGGAAGCTATCAGCCTGTGGCACTGCTGAGGTGTTATGGAAGACCAGGATGCTTCAATAGTGGCCTTCAGCTCTTCTGCATTGTTTGGTCTCATGTCTCTCATCTTTCTCTTGGCAATGCCTCATAGATTCTCTATGGGGTTCAGGTCAGGCGAGTTGGCTGGCCAATCAAGCACAGTAATCCCACGGTCATTGAACCAGGTTTTGGTGCTTTTGGCAGTGTGGGCAGGTGCCAAGTCCTGCTGGAAAATGAAGTCAGCATCCCCATAAAGCTCGTCTGGGAAAGGAAGCATGAAGTGCTCCAAAATCTCCTGGTAGATGGTTGACCCTGGACTTAATGAAGCACAGTGGACCAACACCAGCAGATGACATGGCTCCCCAAATCAACACAAAGCAATAAAAACTGACAAGGGTTCTAATACTTGTCCTCTCCAAAAACCTTTTGCCTTTACTTTTACTTTATGGGACTGTAGGCAGTATGCTTTATCCTTTAACAAAATAACAGACCACAATTATTTGTTTTTTGGTACTAACTTGACCGTGGCCATTTTATTATTGGTATAAATGTAATTATAATGTTTTATAATAACTGTTTATTTGTACATATTAACTTAATAATAATATTTTAAACATTTTTTCTTAAATTAATACTACTCAACACCAGCTTAGTCACTATGACTCAAGCTGAACATATTAAAACAACACTTAACAACCATACCTATTTAACCTTCAAATAAACATACTTACATAATCATCCTCCATTGAAAAAGGTGACCCAACCAAAAATTGGCCGTGAAAACAAAAAAGGGGTCGGGTGGGAGGGGAGCACCACAGATACAGTATGTCTCCCAGGTTTCTGCTTCCCCTGTGAATGGAACCCCTCTTTTATAGCCCTCTCCTCTCTCTTATTCTTCAACTGATTGGCCAATTTTCCTTCCAGGAATGTCCAGGTGCAGTGGGGGGCTAAAAACTCCCTTTTTCTACAAGCTTCCCCACTATATTATATATATATAAACGCTTTGCTTGAGGTGATTGTAGCCGTATTAGTGCACTTGCAACAGAAACAATTGAGTACTGACGTGATACTTTTTTTATTTGCACTAACATACAATTTTGAGGACAAGCTTTCGGGGTATGTCCCCTTCTTCAAGGTCCAGGCAGTACTATTTCACAAAGTTTTAGCAGAACCTTAAAAGAGATGTTGAAAGAATAAAACAAAAAAACTCCAGAAAGAAACTCACACAAACAAATGTACACAGCAATGCTTATAAAACTAGGATTAGACTAGAGATAAGACACAGCAAAAGCAAAGACTGGGGGGGACAACACTCACAGAGGGGGGTCATAAAACTAGTTCAAAAGTTTTCCTTTCCTGAATAGTTTTGAAATTTCCTTTAACCTCCCTGGCGGTATTCCCGAGTGTAGCTCGGGGTAACATTTCAGTACCAAAAGCGGTAACCCCCGAGCTACACTCGGGAATACCATGCGGCGCTGCTCCGGCATGTGTTCTTCACTTACCTTACCCTGCGCTCCCCACGATGTGTCCCCTGCAGTGTCCCCGGCCATCTCCTCCGGCCGATGCCGCATCTGGCTTCTGTGTCCTGTCCCTGTGACGTCGGGACGTACGGGCGCCGCCGCCGGCGGCGGCGGGGGAAATTTAAAAGTTTTAAAAAATGTCATTTTTTTTTTTTTTACATTTTACATAGTAAAACATTGCTGTCTCAACCAATTTCACATACATCTTGTCCCTAGTGCTTTGTCCTGCGCCCTGCCTGCATTTTGTCTGTTCTTTCTGCCTGGAAACTGAGAAATGTCCATGACGTCCAAAAAGTGTCCCTTTAGGTCAAAAGCGGTTTAGATCAGCTAGAGAACAGCGATAGTAAATCAGAACCACTTGCAGAATTGAGTGATAATGATTCGTGGGGGAAATTCGTCATCAGACACTGAAAACGATTTTGCGACTGAGCTCAGCAATGTGCGAACTTGGCGCTATATTTCACATTTCAGTGTTTTTGGTTTGATTATATTATTGAATTAAATTTTTTATTATTTTTATATTATTTTTATGATTATTTATTAAAAATTATAATTTATGATTTTGTGTTTCAAATTTTATCATACCCGGGATGTTTACTAGACTCTTGTTCGGACAGATTTCAGTGAGTTTTTCCTAAAAATTACAGGCCTACAATAAAAAAAATACATATTTCCATGCAAAAAAATGGTACCGCTTTCAGCACCAAAAATCTGAAATAATCATACCGCCAGGGAGGTTAAGAACTAAAATATTGAGGTCTTCCACAGTGTGGTCCGGTTGTGGAAAATGGTGTCCCACAGGTGTGCAGAAGTCATCTTCTTTATGTTCCTTGATGGTATGTCTGTGCAAATTCATCCTTGTTTGCAACTTCTGTCCTGTTTCGCCAACATAAGATCCTTTGCTACATTTTCTGCACTTGATAAGGTACACAACATTACTAGAGGTGCAGTTGTATGATTCGGTGATATTGAAGATCCCTTTTGAGTGTCTGACACTTTTTGATGGATTGATTTGGTACACAGTTTTCAGCGTTTTTTATTGCAGGGTTTGCTTCCATTATTTGTGACGACATAATCAAAAAGGAAGTTTCCTACTGATTAGTTTATTTCTGAGGTTGGGGGGTTGTCTGAAAGCTAGTATTGGGGGAATATTCCAGCAACCCCCAATACTAGCTTTCAAAAAATCCCCAACCTCAGAAATAAACTAATCAGTAGGAAACTTCCTTCTGATTATGAGGTCACAAATAATGGAAGCAAACCCTGCAATAAAAAACGCTGCAAACTGTGCAACCAAATCAATCCATCAAAAAGTGTCAGACACTCAAAAGGGATCTTCAGTATCACCAAATCATACAGCTGCACCTCCATTAATGTTGTACCTTGTCCAGTGCAGAAAATGTAGCAAAGGATATTATGTTGGCGAAACAGGACAGAAGTTGCAAACAAGGATGAATTTCAACAGACATACCATCAAGGAACATAAAGAAGATGACTTCTGCACACATGTAGGACACCATTTTGCACAACCGGTCCACACTATGAAAGACCTCAATATTTTAGTTCTTAAAGGAAATTTCAAAACTATTCAGGAAAGGAAAACATTTGAACTAAGAATGATAATTCTATTTGATAGAAGAGATAACAGCCTTAATTTGGACATGGGATTCCTCACTCATTATCTAACAGTTTTACGACCCCCTCTGTGAGTGTTGTCCCCCCCCCCCCCCCCCCCCAGTCTTTGCTTTTGCTGTGTCTTATCTCTAGTCTAGTCCTACTTTTATAACCATTGCTGTGTACAATTGTTTGTGTGTGTTTCTTTTGTTTTGTTTTTTTTGTTTTTTTCTTTCAACATCTCTTTTAACATTCTGCTAAAACTTTGAGAAATAGTACTCTGCCTGGACCTTGAAGAAGGGGACATACCCCAAAAGCTTGTCCTCAAAATTGTATGTATGTGCAAATAAAAAAAGTATCACGTCAGTACTCAATTGTTTTCTATATATAACGCTTGATACTTTTAACGTTTTTTTCTCCACCAATGGGGGGACTAAAAACCCTGCTGACCTTCTAGAATGTTCCCCACTTGTATAAATACAGCGGGGGTACTTAAAACTTTTTTCCCTGCCATAGTCCTATAAGAAAAGGGGGAGCCCCTAATAAATCCCCCTATTCTTTTCCTAATCTCTCACTCTTGATTTATGTGGTATATGTATGTATATCAGAATGTAAAATTATTGGTACTCCAAACATTTGAGCTTTCTTTTTTTGTTTGTATGCACTGTCAAATGTCTTTGTACATGTATTTAACTTATGTTAAAATGTTGTATTTGTGTATATATATATATATAGTATATTTATATAATGTTCTTTTTATATATAGTTGTCTTGATATAATCTCAGTGCTGCATATAAAGTCACACATTTTTTTAGATAGAAATGCAATGGTCAGGCGTAATGATGCATCTATGTTGGGCTTCAGTCTGGCTCCTTACAAATGTGGTCTGTGTGTCCTTTTTATTGGTGGTCAGCATGTCCCCTTCATTGGTGGTCAGCAGTTAATGTCCCACTTTTGTTGATAGTCAGTGAGTGGAACTTTAGCATCTAGGTACCTTTCTGAAGCTGGACAAGTCCTACTAAGAAACAGAAAACATAGAAAAGCAATGGCAGAAAAAAAGACCAAGTGGTCCCCCGTCTGTCCATATGTTTTTTAAATGTATACATATACACAGAAAACATTTTGTCCATTAAGTTAGCCAGTAATGGAATAACTTTAGTTCTGTTCTTTTCATATTGCCGTGTAAAATAAAATTCAGGTCAGTCAAAATGTCCACCATTTTCACATTCTCTAGCCTAGTATATAAGGGGGACCCCAGCTTATTTCCATGTGGCAGACACATGCAGCTGGGCTCCATCATACAAGATCTTAGGGTATCATGCTTGTGTTTCACTAAATCTAACATGCTGTTATTGAACACATTAACACCTTTATGTTAATGTACTCTAATATAGGCCCATGTTTAACTTGTGGTCCACATAGAAGCTCCAGAAGGCCAACCATCCACCCTGGGCTCATGAGACACACATGATGCATGAGGGTGTTTTCTCTCACCATCAGGAGAGGGACTCCTTTTCCTCTATTAACACCCACTTCAGCCAGACCAGGTTCAAACCAGTAAAATCACACAACTCTCTTCATACTAGTCATTGGCTGTATTTCACATCACACTCAGTAGAATATTACACAGAGGCTTTCTTAGTGCAAAGTAACTTCTTCAAAGTAACAAACAGTCCATTTCAATGGCAATAATCTGTCTAGATAATGGCAAAACAGATCAAGGAAAAGATCAGAAGAGCATTGTGGTACACACGACCAAACTAAAGTCTGAAGTCTATAACCCAATAAAAGTCCTCTGCACAACCTCCAATGTATGGGAGAGCACACCAAGACCCCTGCAACTGTACTTTCCTTCTGTATGTCTCCAGGCAGATTCTCCCTTGAACCCTTAAAGGGGAACCTTCCACCTGCCTACAAGCACCCTGTGGTGCTGGTTTTGGGTTCTTGCAGGGGTGACTTTTTCCATAATGTGCAAGTACACACAAAATACTTCCACATTATAGCACACATGCACCTCCTACTGCACTGTTCTCCAGTGATGATAGGTCTAGGATCCTGTCATTGACATGTTTTAAACTCCTTTAGTATACCAGCCTCATTATCTTTGGCACTCATCCCTATTCTTGGCAGGCCAAGGATGAAGCCAGGATGTAAACTGTATGATGCAGTGCACACAGAAAACAAAAGGTAACCAGAAGTCAGAGACAAGGGGTTTTTTGGCAAAAGAGACTTTGTAAAGGACTTTTCACTTTAACATACACCAATTTAGCTTAGAGAAATGTACCAAAACACAGTTTAAGGCTATGCCCAAATGCCCAAATGTGCAAATGCTTAACGCATCACTTACTGTCTATACCTGCTGAGTCTTTGGCCAAAATACATTTTTTCGTGCACCTTTAATTTGCTCCAGTTAGCTTTTACTTTTACGACAATTTTTCAGCAAACTTTTAAGCTGACAATCATTACATCAGGCTTAATAGGCGCTGTCTCCCAGAAAATCTTTGTTTATAAAATCAGCTAGATTATATAGTATTTTTCTGTAAGAGTAACATATGATAAAAGAAACAGATCAATATCCAAGTTTTTTCGAGAATCAAGTAAATTATCCCTTTTCTTAATGCTGAAGTTTCTAATGGCAGAAAACCTGTAAGGTTTCATATTGTGAAGTGAAGATTACTAGTCCTGGTTGATTTTCCCTTGTGCTTTAAAATCCGGAACTAGTACCAAAAACGAGGAAAGATTCCTAGATGTTTGAATATACTCTAGGTCCAAATAGAGAAGCTATACAAACTCAGAAGTCGAACCAGAGGGTTCTCAGAGGACATCCAAAAAGTTTGTATAGGGATGGAAACATTTCCTAATGATTGCACTAAAAACCAATAATAATTATGGGATTCATTCATGTAGCATATTGGAAACAGCTTACAAAACTCAACATAACCATGTGGCAGAGGCAACTATACAAGAAACTATAAGACAGCCACAGGCTCAGTCACACAGTAAAAACATTTCTAGTGTATCTGAAGCAAAAAAATGGAAAGGTTAGAAGCTCTTTCAAGTTGTTATTGCTGTTTATGTTACTGCTGGGAGATTTACCCTCTCTATTACTCCAGGGGACCACTGTCACCAGGGATAATAGAGAGAGTAAATTACTTTCCATTATTTCTGGGAAACCAAAAAAATGACACTTGTCATAGAAAGTCAGTGGAAATGTTCAATCAGAAACCTGCTCCAATGACAACAGTCGAACATGGGATTCCACATTTGGAGGAATTTCCTCTCATTTCCTGATCTGTCTTCAGCAAAGACAATAAGGCTCCGTTCACACCAATGCGTTTTTTAGTTCTTTTGCAGAAATGCACTACAGTCC